ATTTGACCCCCTGAGATCTCAGGAACTAAGAGAGTTAAAACACCAAAGTCACAGGGTGTGTTGACCTGTACGTGAAATCACTGATCGAAGTTTGAGGTTCCTAGGTCATGACCGTTAGGCCAAATAACGTCAAACAAAGTCAAACTCCAGATTGGTTTCCGAAGTGCTCCCAGAACCTAGATACCTGTTCTTAAGAAATGGTCACATGTTCGTTCAACGTCAGTGACCTTGCTTGACCCTTTGAAGGTCAAGGCGGCCAAAATCTTACAAGACTGCTTCGAGTTTTGGATTTGTATAAGCGACAAAGATTCTGCTGGGCGGCATGTTCTTATAAACAAAATGTTGACTGGGTCATTTTAGGTTAGTGACCTATTGCGACCTTTAAGAAGTCCATGGAAGATGCATAATGCGATTCTTGCTATCGATCATTTAGAAATGAGCACCAGAACTATCCCATACAACAAGCCTTAGGGTAATAAAATAGGTCGATTTTGACCTTGGTCTGACCTTCATAGGTGGCGCCAGGTCGATTTGATCTGGCCATTCAATTGTTGTGTTGCCTAATTAACTATCTCATAGATGTATGGCTATGTCCAACACTCCGTTGTTTCTTCGGAATGAGCGATGCCTTAGAAATCGGCTTCGCTGAATCCACAGCCTGATTTTGACTTGCCGTAGGTCAGTGATCTTACAAGGTACATCTAAATTTTGATACCACTCGACCTGCTATTCAATTGTCTATAGCTATGCAAGATTTGGTGTGGCTACGCCTCGCCGTTCGCAAACCATTCCGGAAAAAATCCTTGAGGGGGGGGGGGGCAGTTTGACCGCCTGCCCGAGCGCGTGTTAACAGGTCGGGCTTCGTCCCGACATCCCTGCCAAAAAACTTTCGTTGCCTGCCCTGTTGATGATAAATGGAGCTCAGGTGTTTACACATGATGCCAAACTGTCAGGAAAATCACGTTTCAGGATGCCTAGCTCCAACAGTGTGGGATGCCACTTTATTAAATTGAATGCAGCTTAACCGCTACAGATTTAATAGCGGCCTGTAAGGACAAATGTGACTCTCTCCGGATCGAAATAGGCGTACAATGTGCTAATTGCTTGTAGGTGTTCTATACAGCTGCATTTTTCATACAGCATGCCACCACCAGCGTCATAAACTACCTGGAAGCATTTTAAAAAGTGGGTTGAGCACCGTGTTATTACAGAACTTAAAGTGAAATCTCATATGTGCATCTAACTTCTCCAGCGTTACAAAAATCACCCAGTCGTGTATACAAATTATAAATTTATGCTACCAAAATCTTGACCTCCCAGCGGCCTCCACATGCACAGTAATGGCTCTCCATGAACTGGTCGCCAGATTAAACATAGAAAACAAGCTGTACGCTTATCATTAGATTGGAAAATAAACGTTTTGACAGCGATTTCACTATCGTCACGTATCGCTGGCTTAACCTTATCTTTAAAGGAAGTGTCCCACCTTTTTGGCACATTTCAAAAACTTTCTTAGGTGAAACTTTGAAACCAGTCGCATTCAGTAATAGCACTGCGTAGCGACACTGTAATACCATCGATATATGATAATGAAAATTATTTGTACAAGTTTCGAGTCCAAATCAAGCTGTCGACGTTTTGCCATAGCACTACGCTTGGCGTTTGTACACATTGCATGCTACTTTTGACATGCAATCCTTATGTTTCCCAAACACAAATTACGCTTTGAAAAGAGCCACTGTGCAAAACGCTATGAGAAATCAAGGAGACATTATAGGGAGACATCAAGGCCATAGCATAACGTTTTGTTGAACTCGCTTGATAATGGCCCAATGTTTATACATATCTTTCCATAAATAGAATGCTCCAAACCAAACTTTTGTAGCAGTAAAACTTTTCTTGCACATGCATTTTGACGATTTTGTGTATCGCAAAAATTGCAAAATACATGCTTTGGAAAAGCAAAGAAATTGAAAGCTTTGTTTTCATTGTGATGAGCGGCGAGTTCAATGAAGTTTTTCGGCCAAAGTACCTACCTCAATTTAGAATTCGAAGCCACTCAGAAGGGTTTCTAGCAGCCTGATCTTTTTGATCAAATCGGGCCCGTCTGATCTAAAAATACTGTTAAATCAGGCGTGCAATTTGTTTAATTGAATAAAACAAAAAGGTGGCATGCTTTCTTTAAGCGTAATGCCTTCTTAAGTCACTAAATACACAAAGGGATGTCCGGAAAAAACATCATCAGCCAGATCGACTGCGCTATCACCAAATATGTGAAAAAAAAACACCCAAACATTAAGGCAATAGAGAATTGGTTCCGGAATCCAGGTTATTGGGCCCGCCAGCGGGAATGTAACCAAACTGTCATCAGTTTGCGAATGTTTTGGGACGCAGACGCCCTCGTTCATCCTAGAGGTCCCTTCTGAGAGCGAGTCAAGGCCCCGACTCGATGGCCCTAAGGGCTGGCCGGAGGACGACCCCGGCCGCAGACCGGACCCTCAAAAGTTAACCAGAGGGCCTCGCGCTTATCTATCGGGATTCCCAGGGACGGTGAGCACCTCTATTTAGGTTAGAGATGACCAATGCTGGGCAATGGGAATCGAGTCGGCTTGGACCCCTGGGGGCCCACTTACGAAGCAGGGACAAAGCCGGGGTCCACGTTTGTTACTGAAGACCTCCTGCGTTGGTCGGATCCCCTGTAACAAGGTGGCCTCTTGCATCGGTCAGAAGCCCAGACTGCTCAACCAGGGAGCCTGCGTGGGCAAGGGGCTCCGAGTCGGCCAGGGGTACATTTTGCTGAAGAAAAACAGGACTGGACACTGAATGTCGGAGGATCACTTACGTCGGTTGGGGTCCCCTAGCTCTGGCACTCAACAGAAATACGAGAAATGACAATGAAATGGTCCTCCATGATACCCCGCAACTAGAACAGAAGTGCCCTGCCAGTCACGGACCCAAGTATTGAACAGGGGCCCTCCAGGACTGCCAGACCCTGGGTCTGATACGTGTCCGGGAGCTTGCTCCAGCTCGATAAACCCGTGGTCTACAAATGTGTTTGGGCGGCATGCTTTATTTTTGTCATAATTTTATTCTAAGCTTTTTTGATTGGATAAGTTCAGACCAGACCTCATTCAAAGCAGGTTTGTTGCATGTGCTCTGTCTCCGCCTTCCTATCACTAAATTTCAAACGTTGTGGGAAATGTGTTACATGTCGCAATGTCTGGCACGGTTCGTCCCACCCTTTTGGGTCCCCGACATTGAACGGCCGCTGCCAGCGGCTGCAGATCAACCAGGCCAGGGACAAAACAGCAAGCACACACGAATACCAAGAGAGGATGCCGTGGCACTTCCCCAAACGCCACACCATCCACACCCCCATTCCCACCCCGTCCCCATCCCCGATCCCCGCCCCACCCCCATCCACACCCCCACTCCTACCCTCGCCCCATCCCCGATCCCAACCCGCACTCTCATCCACACCTCCACTCGTACCCTCGCCCCCATCCCCGATCCCCACCCGCACCCCCATCCACACCCCCACTCCTACCCCCGCCCCATCCCCGATCCCCACCCGCACTCTCAGCCACACCTCCACTCCTACCCTCGCCCCATCCCCGATCCGCCCCACGCCCGACCTACTGTATTGGGTGCTGGTAGGTTGCCCTTTAACCCCAGACCCTGTTGTCTGACCTGCTCGACCAATTTGCCTCCCCAGGCGCCTAAATGCTGGCTTTGCTGCCGTCCGACGCGACGGTCATTGGTCGATCTTGGGCGATGGGAGGAGCAACAGGCGGTGAACCCCGTGTCAGGGGTGCGGCAGCACGAAAAAGTATCGACATCTCTGCCACCCACGAAGTGGTTAAATTTGCAAACATTGGCCCTTTCATGCTCGCATTTGACCTGTGCACATTTGATTTGCTGGACATCTTGATGTATTTTGCGACTTAGTCACTTCCTCGCATTAAATTTAAATGAATGCGCCTTGTCTGAAAGGGAAGCTAAAATCGAAGGTACATGGGTAGTCTTGATGTATAGCGAACCACGCCGTCTGGGACAGCTGGATACACCTGATTGGATACACCTGATTCAATATACATTAAACGCCTTGAACCAGATGCCGTACCTGATGTGTGTGGCATCTCGGGCTTGGCGCGGCGCTTTTTCCCCAGCATGGTAGAATGGGAAACGCCCGGCTCGGTTTCTTGTGCATATTGCACAAAATCGTTTCCATCTCATGGCAGGATAAACGCTCTGACTCGCGCCACACTTCTCTGCCGATTGATTTCCCGCTGTCGGCATTGAGCTACACACCCACGCATGGGAAAGCTCACGAAACAGCTGGCTGCCCATGCCTACCGCGCTCCGGAGAAGCGCGACTGCGCCGCAGCGGCCGGGTGTGGCGCGGTACAGCCTACCAGCTGCTCGCTTCCCGGTATCGTAATTGGTCACTGCTCGTCTCGTTGCACGTGTGCATTATTATGCAGCTGCCATGCAGGTTGGACCTCGAGGAATCTACCCACCTGACCAGATCAAAGCCTTTCGAAAATGAATGAGGGCCTAGTCCGGAACAAGGTTTACATAACATACTTTTGATCAAATGCAGGAATCAATGCATGTATGAAAACCCGCGCGACGGATTACTCCAGTATTAAGAGAAAGGGCACGCGTCATCCAACACTGGTTAAAGGCCTCAGTGGCTCATGCCTCCGGGAGAGCACTGATGGAGCGTTGTCGGGGAGCCAGCTGCGGACACCAGCTGACGGTCTTGCCCCCGCGGCGCTCCACAGTCTTGGAAGCCGACCTCGACGCCTTCGCGCCCGATCGTGCGCCTCCCGCCCCGAAGGCCCGGCCTCGCGCACTGCTTCTCCCCTGGCCATGGCGAGCCCCTAGCATCGATTCGGGTGGGCTATATAGGGTCGGCGGCGGGCGGCGGGCGGTCAGTGCGCCGCCGGTCGTGCCGGAGCATGTGAGAGAGGACAGGCGGGCAGCGGCTGCGCGCGCGCACTCGGCCGGCCATGGCGGCGCCGCTGGCCCGGTGCTACGCTGCTGTGCTGGCGGCGAGTCTCCTGGCGTCAGGTGAGTGTCGTCCGTCAGGCGGTCGGTGAGGTGCGGCCCGCGGCTAGGGTGGCGTCCCGTCCCGTCCCGCCCGGCGCCGGGCGAGCCGCCACCGCCGGCCGGCGCCTCAGGCACGGCGATCCCGCTCCCCGGCGCCAGATGCGCGTGATCAGGAGCACAGATCAGCGGCACACAGGCCACCCGCGGATCGCGATACATCATCGCAATGTGGGGCCGCTTGAGCCGATGTGCCCGCCAGCTGCGCTTAGGGACAGTATGTACGTTTGCTAATGAGTGGCCTAGAAAAACTGTGGTTATCAGTTCCTGCCTCGAAAACTGAGACGCCATGGACGTGGGAACACAAGCACGGAAATCCATAGTAACCACACAGATAAATAAGGGGCAGTGCGATTTCTTTGCTGCATTTTACGTACATCTAAGTTAGCTTTAGTTCCATAAACCACAAACCTTGTAACATAAACCTCAGTTCTGCTCTACCATACCGCCTCTTTGTTCGTTTTTAGTTTTGTACCACCGGCGAGAATAGCAGACCTGGATGTGATTCGGAGTGTCTTGTGTGCGACAGAAAATGTAAACTGTTGATACATATGGCGTCGTCAATGCAAATAACTGACGTTGCCGACACTATACGTAAATCTTATACTGATTTGACAAGCATCAAACAACCAAGACCTATTTGCTGCTATAAGCAACTGGCCTTGTCTTCAAATCACATGCCGTGCCTCACCCGTCCCGTATCTCATGTTGTCCACCAATCGGAGCAGTTGTCGCTTATTTGCCACAGTTGAACTGGTGCGCGTGCAGCGCCGGCGGCGTGTGCGGCCGACCGCCCGCATGCTCGCGCCTGGAGCCGGCTCGGCCATGCCTCAGGCGGCTGCGACCTGGCGGACAGTGGCTCTTTATCTCCCTCACACTCGTCGGCTCCTTAGCGGCCGTTTAACGACCTGCCGCGCTGCGATTTCACAAGCAATAAAACTCGAGTCTAATGACAGACCCATTTGTTACCGGCTGCCAATACGAGGTAATAATGTGGCGGGCGGCAGGCAGCCACTGGCGGCAGTGCCCGGTGCCGTCGCCTACTCTGCGTCCCTCCTCCCCGCTCCCACTCTCCTGAGGTGAACGGCTCCCTGCCGCTCCGCCAGCAGCAGCGCGACGGCAACAGTTGTCACTCGCGGCCCTCCCGCGGATATCGGCTCTTCTCTGTCCGCCGTGAATTTATGATCAGTGTTATGCACTCCTTTGTGCTTCGTGAGTATGTTCCTGCCAGCTTCTACGCCTGCTGTCGGCTCATGTGGCCGCTGTGGGCTCCCCTGATCGCTATGCACTCATCTGCTCTGGATTTATTCCCTAGCTTTGTGCCGTCCACTGTTCTCCCCGCCTGCTACTGGTTCTCCGACCTGCTCTCTGCATCCCCCTGTCCCAGACAGAAGCACCTGGCACGACGCTCTGCGAACGGCGCTCACCACTGGTGGACCGGCGCGGACCGGGGCGTCGGTCGCCGGCTGGGCCGCGATCGCCGCCCGAGCCGGCACCCCCGCGCTCCACGCCCCTCGTCCTGTTCCTAAGCCCATGTTGGCCTTCGTACTTGCTGGGAAGGTCACTGCTGTTGTCAATGGGATTGGAGTGACCCTTGTTCCGTTCCACTGCGCGATCACGAAGGCACTAAAAGATAGACTCCATGTCGGAGAATCGTTTCAGAGATAATGCCTTGTAAGGTTGTATTCTGCACAATTTGATAGGTTTTCATTACAAGCTAACTCGTTTTGCTATCATATGAAAAATGAAGCAAACCGACGTTACAAGCAAGTGCTTTCTTGGTAAGTCTCAATACATCGCTCCTCACGCATCAAGTGAAACACTTCCTTTTCTCATCACCCGGCGAAGAGTAGCGATGGCTGAATGTAGGCAATACATTCAGTTTGTCCTGGACCAGGTGCGCAGGTCTCTGTTATGTCATCAGACACATACATTATATATATATATATATATATATATATATATATCAGATATGCTCCAGATAATTTATGTACATCAGACACACACATCACACATTTGCCAAGATTTCTTACCGGGAACAGGTTCCCGGTTCTTGGCTTTGGAACCAGCAAGAACCCCAGAACCAGTGTGGAATCAAACCTAGGCAACCAACTAGAACCGGGATCCAGCCTGATTATAGACCGAAATATCCAGCAAAAGAGCATTTTACCTAGAGATCCAACACCTAGGCATCAAACAGGAGCCATCATCTTGCCTGGCATTATGTCAGGGTCCAGCAAGAACCAGGGCTTAGCTTAAACAAAATGCAAATATCCAGCCAGAATGAAGATCTAGCTCAGGATTTGGCTGAAATCCGGCAAGAACCCAGTGTGGAATGAATGTTGCCAACTGAAGCTGCATGAACCCACAATCTTGTCTATGACTCTGGTCCGCGTGGCATTTTTCAGATCCAGCCAGGGGTTCATAACAGCTGATAAATTAATGTAAACTAGGCATACTAACCTTTTTCAGATCCAGCTAGGGGTTCACAACAGCTGATAAATTAATGCAAACTAGGCATGTCAACCTTTTTCAGATCCAGCTAGGGGCTCATAACAGCTGATAGATTAATGTAAACTAGGCATATTACCCCTCTTCAGATCCAGCTAGGGGTTCATAACAGCTGATAGATTAATGTAAACTAGGCATATTAACCCTTTTCAGATCCAGCTAGGGGCTCATAACAGCTGATAAATTGATGCAAACTAGGCATATTAACCTTTTCAGATCCAGCTAGGGGTCCATAACAGCTGATAGATTAATGTAAACTAGGCATACTAACCTTTTTCAGATCCAGCTAGAGGTTCATAACAGCTGATAGGTTAATGTAAACTAGACATATTAACCTTTCTCAGAAGGTTGTTCAAAACTTCAGTTTTTACATGCAACTCTGCCCAAATGGCATCTTAGGAATGTCTGTCACGTCTTCCATAATGGAAAGTGGGGAATGCATTTTTGTGAATTGTGGCATTTCCAGCATGCGTGAAACCTCGTGTGTATGGTTCCAACATCTGCACTTTGACACCTACTGTCTTGGTTCTGCCCCAACATTAATTAGCGGAACGTCTGAACACATGGAAAATTGTTGTTCCACTACAATTTTGACATCAGGTTGACCGAAATAACCGTTTTTCTGTCTGTCGGCATTCTCTGTTCCTTGCCGACGACTTGGGCTCCGATCCGACGTAATAATACCCCGAGCTGCTCCAAACATACGCCAAAAATTCCAAGTGGCTCCAAGCCCACAACCTTTCATGGCTCCAACGTAATGCTAAGACCGGAAAACGCAAACTAAAACGCATGCATATTGTCAGTATTTGGTTTAATTGATTTTGGTTGCATCTATATTCACATGCATGTGTTCTTCCTTTGGGGTATCTTTATTTTGTTTACTACACATCAGAGCACATATCAAAACAAGTCAATAGAGATTCTTACTTGCTGTTGATATCAGGTGGCAGGACAACAAAAGTTATCTCACGTTGCATGTGACGGGGGGAGGGTGACAGCCGTTTATCGTTGGTTCTTTCCAGTCAGCCCTCAGGGACAATGCTCAAATTTCGAGAAGTCGTTGAGGGGTGAGATTCAGTCACTGCCAGCTATCCTAGTCAACACGCCCCTGTCAGACGGGGAATATAAAAGCTAGTCTTGGTTCGGAATCCAGCCCGTATTGTGGGAAGATCCAGGTAATTAAAGTTACTAGCGAAGCATTGTAAAACATCCAGCCACCATGGGGCACCATGATATCGGTGCAAATCTGGCAATTTTCACATATCAGGGCCAATTTGTGACATAAAAGTTATTCATCGTGAAAAGTCGTACAGGGCTGTTACATAGATGGTCAACATAGGTATGTGGGAAATTGCGAAAATTTGACCCATGTTTATTGCATATCTGAAGTGTAATCTGACGGTTTCTGAGTGTGGTGCGTTTCTGTATGCATATAGTTCTGCATGCTTATGCAATGCGCTGTTGCCATCTAAAGCGGTACATGCCTGCAAGAGGGAAGTTCTTGTTCAAAAATAAACGCTGCTATTTAACATACATATTGGTCGTTAGTTTGAAATCAGGCTTTTGAAATAGCACACAAATATCTAGAGCAGGGAAATAATTATGTCCAATGCCTGGGGGACCGATTGCCTGACAGCTTAATCTCCTTCAGATGTATGTTTTCTCAAAGGGAGTGTCCCAACTTTGGGGCATATCTCAAAAGCATACTCAAGTGAAATCTCAAGTCCAGTTCCGTCAAATGGCAGCACTTGGTAGTGCCACTACAACACCGTCAAGACATAAAAACGATAGCAATTTTACTTATTTTGAGTCAAAATTACGCTGACAGCACTTTGTAACAGCACTACGCTTCTTCCGTGCAGCTGTCACGACGACTGTGGTCATGACAACAGCCGTGGCACCTTCACTGGTGCAAGTAAAAAAAAAATGTTTGTGATTGGTTCAACGGGCGACAAGGCCCTGTTGCCGAGAAGCGCATTGGTTGAAGCTTGGACCAGTGAGTCACTGTAGGCCATGTGATACTTCAAGTCCCAGAGCTGAAATGCGCCTCGATTAGAGCCACTGTGGTAAACACCATAGATGAGACATCAAAGTCATAGTATCACGTTCCGTTGAAATCGCGGGATAAAAGCTTCACGTTCTCTTATCTTTTGTCTTTACACTGCGTTTCAAGCTTTCCTGGCATTTAATCATTTTGACAAAGCATTGTTTCAAACATTACAGAACACACGCACACGCGTTGGGAAAAGCAAGTCAAATGAAATGTATTACTTTTACAGTGGCGAACATGGAGTTCATTAGCTTTGTCTATTGGCTATGCAATCCAGGAGGCGATGGCCATAACAAGCGGCTACCCATTCATATTCAGTTGTATCCACCCGTTACCCAACTGCAGGATCGACTACTTAAAATGTGCCGCAGGGACAGCTACTTCAACTAAAAATGATGAGCTG